TAGAAATAGTAACTTTCATACTTTTCTTAGCTATAGAAATAGTAACTTTCATACTTTTCTTAGCTATAGAAATAGTAACTTTCATACTTTTATATTACAAATAACATGTACACGTTCAGCTGCACAGGACAATGGCCTCGGTTACTTTAGGTGGAACAAATTGATTTATAGATAAGAATTAACACTAACTATATCAGATGTTTGATTCTAAAATGGTGTTTCTAGTTTGCACTTTTATCATTATATAATCATAGTTTTGTTAAAATACATATTTGAAATATAAGAAGCAATCAGCCTTAATGAATTGTTAACTATTGTATAACAAATATCTTTTTTTACCCTCAAATGCCATTTAAGTGAACTTATTATTGGAGAGTCAACTATTCCATATTAATCTATGTAATGATTATAATGAATGTGAATTTAGAATCAGTAATATATTTAATTCAGAAATGTGTTTGATTTTAAAGTAAAGCCATTCAGATATTTTGTTTAACTTTTACTCATGCAAACTTAGATGACATTGACCTGGTTGTGTTACTAAAGATCATCCAAGTGTAGTAGCATTATGATAAGAAAAAGATTACTGGCTTAATCATGTGAAATAAAGTTCATTCAAAAAACTTTCAGTGGTTGAGAAAATATTGAAAATAGTGATAGAACATGTATTATAATATACTTGTTCAACTTTAGTATCATAACTGATCTGATGCATACCTATGTTTTGATGTGTCATACTTCCATTGATCTGTCCCCCAGTGATATCACTGCTTTATCCTCCATGATTCTGAGTTCCCTGATACAATCTTACTTTAAGTGTAACATTACACTATATTTGTTTTGATGTGAAGAATGTCATGTTGTTTGTTTGTTTTCCCACGGTATAAAGATCTTCTGTAGAGTAAGCGAAATAATTCTTACACGTACTCAACCAACATTTTGAGCAATCGCCTATTGTCAGGCTCAGCAATAAAGCTACAGCATATTTATTAAATAATTGTTCTGGGGAGGGGGAGCTTTATGCTGATTTGATAGTTTCAGTTCTATCCGAGAAGTTATTTTTATATATCAAATAAAAAATACAAATCATATGAAAATAGTGAAAATCCAATAACCAACATATTTCTGTGATTAATGTAATGATAACCACTCAAATAGACTAACAATCATGTTGGTGTTTACTTCATTACATGGTGGAGTTTAACATTCAGCTTGCATTACAGATACATCATCTCTTTCACTATGAAGTAAACTAACTAGTATATGTATAAAAATTTGCACTAATGTGCTTCTTAATTTATTTCTTATCTGTGTGTAAAAATTTCACTGATGTACTTCTTAATGTATTTCTTAACTGTGTGAAAATGTTCACTAATGTGCTTCTTAACTTACTTCTTACTTGTGTGAAAATGTGCACTGATGTGCTTCTTTACTTTTTATCTTCTCAGAGTTCACACTGGACATCGATGAAAATTTGCAAGCACTTTTCAAGAAATTTTCTTTAGCCTAAAATCTCAATTTTAAGCACTCTTTCTCAAAGAAATTGCTATCAAATAATTAAAGGACATTTATGTTCAGCAAGTATTATCTTTACATTGAACCTTTGAGAGACTTACTTAATAGATAAGATAGACCATAGTAAAATATAAACATTTTATTTTTTCAAAAAAGTGATATGCAACATTGAACAAATGTGATAAAATACAAAAGTTCACAAAAGTTTGGCAATTTTATCATGTCAATTAAATCGTCTTTTTGCAATTCACTGTTCCAGTTCTTTTAAATCTTTTTTCTGGTTTTGCCATTTCATCCTTTAATTTCTTTTTTCTTCAGAATCCCCTCCTTTTCTTCCTCTCTCTTCTGTTTTCTCACTTCTTCTTGATCTCCTTTTTATGTTTTTCTGCCAAGTAGGCATCATATTTCTGCTTTGATGACTTACAAGAGAGCCTCAAAGACTTGTCAATCTTCACATTCAAAACACCTCCAACAGTCTTGATGTATTCCACCACAACATGTCTTGCAACAAGTCCTACAATAGACAGATTATCATCCATCACCTGCTTGTTAACCAAGAAACCTCAGTCCACAGAAGCATGGCCATGTGACAAACACAACTTTTTATGACTGACAAGAGGTCATAATAATCACTTGCCGTAGGCTGTACATAGAGGAAACATTCTAGCCTCATAGCTGGGTTACACTCCCTGAAGGCAAAGTGGTTTTTCTTCAATATAGTCTGCAGGAAGTCTTGTTACAATCTTGTTCTGCACCCTACCTGCATTATTTTCACAACCCTCTTGAAATGCTTCTGAGCTTTGTTTGCGTTGTGAAAAATTGCAAACTAAATAGCCATTGAAATATGGAATTGTGAGGAACATGGACTGTTTGGATCCAAGAAATATAGCAAGGGATTTTCACTAACATTTTCCTACAAACCTTAAGGAATTCCAAAATATCTCTGTCAATTATATTTGTTGTCCTGTGAAGAAAGTTAATCACATTTTCACGGATTATTTCATTGTCCACACTTTTGTAGGATTTCAACACAGTATTGTCATCCAAGTCAATGTTCATTATATCAATAGCACTCAGTCCCTTGCCCTTAACTAGATCAACTTTGGCAAACCTTGTCATTATATCCATCATTGCACTTGTCAAACCAATTGCAAGGAAGGAGATCAATGGGTCATCAGTTTTATATCTACGTAGAAATTCTTGAACTTGTTGTGCAACTGAAAGCATGAAATTCAATGTAATAGTCTTGTCCTTCAGACCTTCTTTTGCAATTTCAAAAGACATGTTTTTTGGATTAGTTACTTTCTTCTTTTGAACAGATGAATGTACTTCTCGTATGGTGAATTACTGTAACATTTTCAAGCCACCTATATAAATAAAACAGTACAACAATCTAGAAACAATGCATATAATATCAGTCTTTCCTTTAATCTTATTAAATATAGACATATATATCTAGTAGGAATTTCCCTTTAAACAGAGTGTACTGTTTCATTGTAATTCTGTAACTGTTGGAACTTAAAACTTTTTCCATAACACTCACTTCACTATAAAAACAGCTCAGGCTTTTAAGATAAACTGTGACAAATAATTTAAAAAACTCTAATTCGTGTAAAAGATAATACTTCACGATGTCTTCCAAATTCCAGTCTATTAAAATTATTATAGCATGATACAGTATTTGTAGGCTAGCTCTGAGCTTCCTGTCACTTGTACGTAATCAGCCTTTCTTGCTGGTGCATTTTGGAGTAGATGATACATGCTACTTAGCAGATCTTCTATTTCCTAGGCTGTTTCTGCTAAGCTTACCATAAACACCCCATGAATAATTTGTAATTCACAAGAACCTAAAATAACAAAAATGTATATATATATATATATATATATAATATGATATAATCAAAAGTGGTCACCTTCGCTATAATACATAAAGAGTTCTT